ATATATATATATTGATATAAAAATTGATATTTATTATTGCCGGAAGACACTACGAGTGAGTTCAGTATTTTAAGCCTACATATTGTTTTGAGTTTGGAGAAAGTCAAACAGGTTACCAAATGTTTATACGGTTATAACGACCAGGGAATTATATAGGATATAATTCCCTGTAACGACGAACTGTTTGCTACTTACCGACGCAGCTGTCCCGTAGATCGCTAAGAAGTGTTCTGATCGCATCAAGGCTGGCGTCGGCCTCGTCCATTCTCTGATGCTGCTCTACCGCCAGCGGGTCTGGCTCACACTCGACTTCAACTGATATAAACAAACAAAAATAAATGAATTTCGATACGCATGGATGTGTAGGAATTACGCCTCCAATTTTTTTCTGAATCGCATCTTTTACACTTCTAAATCTGTACATCAAAATCAAATCAATTAAATATATTAATCTATTGATGAATGCAATAAAATGGCAATGCAGTGAGGTTGTAAGAATTAATGTTTTACGTTCCAATGCATTGGTTAAGATACATGTACACATACCTTCTCTGCATATTTTCCTGGCAATGGCGGTTTTTAAGTTCATCAAGTGGCCTGCATTGTTCACCATGATGACGTGGTCTTCTACAGGCTCAGACACTATTAGATCCAAGAAGTCCCTGGAACGCGTGAAAATGATTGAAGAAAATAATAAGTTAAAGTGTATAATGCTCACACTTAATATTCTTGAAACACACACTAACACAGAGAGAGAGAGAGAGAGAGACGTAAAATCTTTTTTCTTTTTTGTTCAGTGCGCAAGAGGATAAAACTTCAGTTCATTTTGGAAATGGAAATCATAAACAAAATAACGAGCTCCCTCATTCAAATTTATCAAATATGACAAAATAACCTACGGTTTCAGTCTTTTTCCAACCCCAATGGCGAAAATTATGGTACCATCGTTTTTAATGTTGTTGGCATAAGGTACTGTCAACTCTTTGTCTTCGTTTGGCCGCCCGTCAGTAACAACGATTGCTATCTTCTCCACGTCAGCGCGCATTCCGTTCTCTTCCTTAAATACCTCGTCTTTCAACTTGTACAAACACCCGGACGTGTTAGTTCTACCTCCTTGAACTTCCTTTGCCTTTTTTGAGGCCAACTCGTCGATATCACCAATAATACCATCCACGTCTACGGAAGAATGGCAAAAAATAAAACGTCTAATTTTCGGTAATTACATTGATGAATGAATTCCTAAGAGGCCCTTTTCAGGATCCATTTTGTAATCCATGACGCTTCCCCGTCAAATTAGTAGAATGATGTTTTCAATACATTTCATTTGGTATAATATTTTCTTTTAAACTTTTTGAAATCATTAGGATAATTTAAACCCTTTTCGTGCTGATTACTTAAATTTCCCCAGAAATCTGTAATTTCTAAATATTTGGTACAGTGTATAAACTCGTACGCATGATGTAATGGGTCTTAGATATAAAACTCCGAGCTTTTATCTACAGGCCCCTGTGTAATTAATGCATGTATGACATGCAGTATTTTTCCACAG